ACTAAGTGCATCATGGTATGATGAGTAGTGTACACTAACATGTTGTTTCTGTTGTTAGCAGTCAGATAGCTTAAAGCCAAATTCACAATCAGAATCTAGTGATCCCGGAAAATAAAATAAAATAAAATAACTGTCGTATTGCACAGCCTTGTATGCAAGGACAAGCCCGTATAAAGGATAGACATGTTTAATGAGGAAATTAACTGCGCAAAGTCATGCACTTTTTATCTAGACGTCTGACAAATTGTTTGAATCTCCGGTCTCAAATGAAAAAAAGTTGCACAGAAGGACCATTGTCAGCATCAGCTCAAGTAAATGGTAACCACGCTTTCGAACAAACACTTTTCTCAGCCATGCATTGTTCTTAGCAGCTCTGTCTCCGAGGACGGCGCTGTCTGTGATCAGGGCAGAGTAACGCAACTCTCACGCACGCTGCAGTATTTGAGAGCTGCCTGCTCCGCCCCACACACTCACAAAGTGAAACTCTCCAACACAAGAAAAAAAACATAACTGATAACATCGGGCTGATATGGTAATAATTAAAATGTTAACAATTAAAATGACTTTTAACGATTAAAAAACGTCTGTGAGCCCACCAATAAGCGCACAAAACGAACTCTATTAGAATCGATGATCCTTAATGTTACCTGTAAGCTACAGTTGGTTGAAGGCTCATTATCATTACCCCAGTTCCCAATAGCGTAATTCACGTTTTCTTTTAAAGCAACATTTCATAGCAAACTACTTAAATAAACAGGCAATTGAAAGATCAGAATTTAAGCCTTACCGTTTTATCCCAGGACTCTTCCAAAACTTCTGGCTGTGGTCCTGCACAAGGCAGCATGGGTCACGTGTTCCACAATAACACTGGGCTGCCCGCAGACGTGCCTGTCTGAAAATCGGCGTAGTGCACTCGGATATCGGCCGATGCCGATACATTAAAAAATGCTAAATATCGGCCCGATATATCGGCCGGCCGATATATCGGTCGACCTCTAGCTGCTTTCTTTGACTGCCTGCTCCTTCTCGGGTTTCTGTGCTCCATCAGAGCAGAGTCTGGATCGCAGGTGTAGTATCTCGTCTCTCACAGTTGCACTGCAAAGTTTTTTTACTTGTTTTCCAGTAGGGAGGGGGGGGGGGGGGGTCATTCTGGCTCGGAATGCTGGGTTCCTTTGGTTTACACAAAAAAACAAAGTGAATGACAGACAAATTTAGAGAACAAACTTAGGGCTGTAGACTTCTCCTAGCTGCATGTATGTGCCAGGACAGGGAGGTGTCATAAAGTGTGGGTGGGTGACAGGAAATACGAGGTCTGGGATCAAACAGTCAGCATGTTCCCAAAAGCGATGATTCTCTCCTGCAGCTATCTCCCCTTTAATTGGCTTTGGGGGTTTGTCCCCATGACCCCAGGGGTCACACTGTGGCCGATCACCCGACAGCAGGGCTCTGTGTTCCTGTTACACCCTGTGACGCAATGACCCTCGATACCCTCCCACGGCTGCTGAGGTGCCCTCCTAAAGCCCCTAAAATAGGCCTGACAACACCCCTGCTACTGGCCATTACTTACCCCTACTGATCAGGGGCGTAGTTAGGGATGAATGGATAGGGGAGCTGAGTCTTTACTGGGAGGATGGGAAGCTGATGGCAAACTATTCCTGACTTAAGCCAGTAAATTATTTAGGGGGGCTAAAATAGGTCTGATAACGCCCCTGCTACTGATCATTACCAAACCCTGCTGATAGATATGAACTGTCACTGACCCCTACTGGCCGTTACTGACTGCTACTGACACATAACCATCAGCGCTCACCCAGCTTTATGTTTTTGGAGCCAGATCCTGGCCTGGACCAGGATGGGCAGCATTGGCCCAAATAAGCAGGCAGGTGCGAGTGATGTTTTGGGGGGAGCACCACAATCGTGGTCCGGTACATGACCCCACCCTTGTGACAACATCCCGATGACCTCCATCTCCATGAAAACAAGACCCCGTCTGTCAACCCATTGTCTGTCACTGATCGGCTTCCAGGAAACTGCCGTCTCCTGTCAGGATGGTAGGCACCTGGAGCGGATCCTGCAAGGTGCATGCTGGGAAACGGGGGGTCGGGACCTTGACGGAATGCTGGGACAAACCACAACCATTTTCGGAACACAGAGGTACCCGGAGAAACATTTGGCATTGTGTCGGTGGCCGGGGGGCAGTGAGCTGGCTGATTACAGTTGCTGGCCGGCAGTCAGCTTCTGTGATGGTTGTGCAGCACGTGCTCTGGCCTGCTGATCCCCCCTTCCGCTCTGTGACTTGTGCAAACAGGCTGCAGTGAGACTTTGGAGGTTTTGGCAGCGTCTCTGTTTAGAATGCGGTTTGCGTGCATGTGCAGGTTCTGAAAGCCCCAACAATCGGGGGCGGAGCACCGCCCCCAGGGGCACTGGATGGCTCCTTATGGGCCGCCTGCCTTCCTGCCTGACCTCCACAGAGCCTCACCTGGGCTCAGCTCGACTTCTCTGTTGTTTTTGGCTTCCTGCTGATGAGAAGGGGAAGGTCGGCCCAGAGGCCTGGCCAGCCTCCGATCCGGAGAATCCATCTGGGAACTGCACTCCTTGTAATTCTAACCATGATGCAGAACATTTCTAGTGAATTATGCAATTACATTTTTTGATTATGAGGAAACGCCGATTTCTACAGCAGCGCTATTCAAGCTCTTTTTGACAGCCCCCCTACAGCTGATATATTCCTGCCTGTTTTCCAACACACAGCTTATCAGAGCCTGGAAAAACAATATTTCTAAAGATCACAATTTTGAAATACGTCGGCCCCTACCTCAAACTCCCCCACACAGATCTTTGTTTTTTTATTTCCCCTCAGCTGCACCCCCTTCCTGTAATTCCTTCGAACCCCACCAGGGCGCGGTACACCACAGTTTTGAATACTTCCGTCCTACAGAGACTGTGGCCAGTCCAGCCTATCTCTGCGGACTCAGGACGTCCCCGTAGGGGTGCTTAGGAACCGGGTTCTGGGCTGCTCTGTGTGGATGCAGGCCTGTCACTGTTCTGCTCTTTGGCGGTATATCTATGAGTGCCCCCCTCCCAGTCCTGCTTCATTGCCCCCCCCTCCTCCTGCAGTGCCATCATTTACAGAGCGGGGGCCTCTTCCTATTGGCAGATCTCCCCGTGGGTTATTTTTGCAGTGGCTGGCAGTGCTGACACTGAGTCCAGCTCCTCCCGGATCCCCTTACGCTCCTCATAGAGCAGGTAGGGTTTTCCACCCCGCTGATCCATCTGCATAGACTCTGGCTGCTTCGCCCAGCATGATGAAAATGGCTGCTCTGCAGGCCGTCACTGGGGCCGCATCTTGCCGCTCTCCACACTGACAGTTGATAGGCTGCCCCTATGTGGTGACCCTGGCCACATGTGACCAAATGGAGTGGGAGGGGTGTGTGTGTGTTTGTGTGTGTTGGTGTTTTTTACGTGGTGGCACATCAAGGCCCACAGCTGTGATGGGAGCGAAGGTCGTTGATATACACTTCCTTTTCCAGAGATTCCCTATATCAGGGATGTTTTGTGTGTGTGTGTGTGTGTGTGTGCGCGCGCCTGGTTTTTGACCAGGAAATGTTGTGGAATTTCTTCTATTTTTGGAAGGAAGATAGACTTTTTTTCGATATTGAATGTTAGAGTTTAGGATCTCAGAAGGAATATTCAGGTTTTCCTTTTAACCTGCTAGTCTTTATAGTCAAACCGTACCATAAATTGTTTATGCACCTCGTTGGAGGTGCTGCGTGGTACTCGGCATAACCAAATTGCAACGTTTCTTAGGTTATTTAGAATTATTTGACATTCACTTGACTTTTGGTTCCGAAGTAAGCTGTATATAAGACTTTAAACATCTTATATCTTCCCCCGATGAGGTTGTTCCATGCCGTCCCTGCGTGCCTACCACCCGGAAAGGGGATCGCGTTAACAGCCGAAACAGCTGTCATCAGAGCGTCACCGCTACTAAATAATAAAGGTGTTCCGAGTCACGTGGTACGGTCCCTGAATTATGCACGCGCCGTCGGCCCCAGCCACGAGCCCGCACCCCCTCCGCACCGCACTTGTCCGGCTCGGATGGTGTCAGCCAGACTTTTACAAATCAGGCAAAACGTGATTGATTTCTTTTTTTCCTTCCTCAACTCTGTCTGTCAGGAGGCTTTTTAACGATGGCGAGTCTGGGGGCGTCTTAAGGCTGCTGAGTCAAATGCAGCAAACGCCGCTTACGGCCACCTGCCAGAGCTGCCCCGGAGACGCGGTGAAGGTGATACCTCGGCGCGGAGCTAACTTGCGGAGGTGTGTACATGCATTATATATATATATATATATATATTTTTTTTTTCCAGTGTAGTACGTACGTGCTTGTCGTTTTCTTTATTGAGTTGTAAGCAGTTGGGAGTTTACCCATAACAGATCAACTCAAAAAGGGAAGAAATATGCTCACAAAAATGTAAGTAATGTTATTAAATAAATCGAAGACGAGGAAAAAATATTTTCACTGTTAGGAGCTAAAATCAGCGAATGTAAAAAAGTTAACATCAATTCCGAGAAGTAAGAAGAGAAACTAATAGGTGTGAAAAATCCAGGTTTGTATGTACATTCGGTTTCTCCGAACCGAAGACCGGTTTAATTTTCTGCTCATAATAAACTAGCCTCTAAAAGTTTAATTGGTTCCGGTCTGTGGTCCGATTACACGGGAGGCGCTGGCCGCGGTGCTGAAGGTTTTCCAGGCTTCGGGTCGTACTGAAGTTCTTTAAATGCTAAAGCCCGCATGGGCTTCCTTCCGTCCTATCAAAAAAAGTCTGAAAAAAGCCCGAAATATTCCTTAACTGTTTAACGTTTACGCAGCGTGTAGGTTATTCTGTCACGTAAAACGAGGGTGAAATTGTCTAACATTCTTTAGGCCTATAAAATATTGAAGTTGGGGGAAAAAACTTATTAGTATTTTGAGTTGGGTAATTGGCATTATGGTGTGTTAGGGAGCGCAGGGCTGGGGTGGTGTGCGGTTGTTATAGCATATCCGATTAGTTATTTTCGGTCTAAAACATGGTGTAAAACATACCGGAGCTGAGGCCTAGGTGGGTATCTGTGAGCTGTATTTCCCGCATTTTCCCACATGAGGGCGTCTATTCAACCCTAGAACTGACGCCCATTCACCATGCCCAGTCAGGCATGTCTGATTATCTAACCAGTCTGCTTGACATCATATCACCGTAGCAACCCCAGGGACATGTCATCACTTGATTATAAATTTGGCCAGCCCGATATAGCACCTTTTCGCCTTCGTTTTAATGGGGCGTCCCTTGTCTTCTCTGTCTCACGACCGTGCCAGTGGTGGCCGAATCAGAAGCTAAAGTGAGCTTCAGTTTCCCAAGAATTTCGGGTGTTTGTCCCATCGACAGCTTTGGGTGGGTTTCCCTCGGCAGGCAGAAGGTTGTGGGGTCAGAGCCCTAGAGAGAAGCTGCTGCAGTTTCCTGGGGAGAGTGACCTAGTGCTGCTGGTGGAATATGGTGGAGGTGATTCTGATTCAAATCTTCACGTTTGTCCGCAGGGTCCATCCCAGTATTGGGGGGGCAGGTGTGTCCATGGATCCCTTGTGAAGGGTGGGGGAGGGGCAGGCATTCTCTCCCAGGGAAGAGACATTCTCCATTCTGGTGCCCAGCATCGAGACTCGCAGCTGACTTCACGTGATCTGTCCAACCTGCTTCCCTGCCTCTGTGATACCTAGAGGCCCTCCCCCACCATCCCACCATGAACTCCATCTTTGCCCGGCTGCACCCTGGGCGGGTGGAGTGGGGTGATGTGCTGTACCGGCTGCAGTCACGGGTCCTGCGGACCAAGCCTGTGGACACCATGCTGGACGGCAGCGGTGCTGACACGCACGGCACGCAGCTGGCACGTGTGCTCACCACCGTGGACCTGGTGTCGCTTGGCGTGGGCAGCTGCGTGGGCACCGGCATGTATGTGGTTGCCGGGCTGGTTGCCAAGGAGATGGCGGGGGCCGGGGTCATCCTGTCCTTCTGTATTGCCGCCATGGCATCCATCCTGTCCGGTGAGACCCGGAGTTTTCCGGATGGGGGCCGGGGATAGCGGGCAGTTCACGTTGATGTGAAATGTGTTTTGTTTGTAGCTGGCAGTTGTCTATAGACTGAGGTCGAATCTAAGCTTTAGACATGGTTCTCTGGTCCGTAAGGTCCAGAGCTTTCCAGTTGCTTCAGAACGAGCCTTCCAGCCCAGCCCTATGCCGGGTTCAAGCCCTACTGTGTACTGTGCTTGCTCAGCTATAGAGGCCTGTGGATCTCTCCTGGTCCGTGTTGGAGGCGCGTGCTCCTGTCTCGTGTCTGTTTGCCACATGACCCCCCCTCCCCTGCAGGAGTGTGCTACGCCGAGTTTGGCGTGCGCGTGCCCAAGACGACAGGCTCCGCCTACACCTACAGCTATGTCACGGTGGGCGAGTTCGTGGCCTTTTTCATCGGCTGGAACCTGGTACTGGAGTACCTGATTGGCACGGCGGCCGGTGCCAGCGCCCTCAGCAGCATGTTTGACTCACTGGCCAATCACTCCATCAGCCACTTCATGATCGACCATCTGGGCACACTCCATGGCCTGGGTGAGCAAGGGCGTTGCCACGTCTGGTTACATGACCCCTGGGGACAACTACGGTGTGGGGAATATGGGCAACTTGGGGAAAGAGTGAAAGAGCTCTTGGGTTAATGAGAGAAAGCCGGTTGATTGTCATGCCCCAGGGCCCGTCCGTGTCCTGATCTGGCTTTTCTCATGCTCGCAGCCCATGTCTCTCATGTTTTTCCCCCAGTCGTCACCATGGCTACTCAGCTAGCAGCCATCCTCAGCAATGTGGCCACAATTGAGCCGTGCAGTTGCTGAAATCTAAGCTCTGATGCTGGCTCCTGTCGGCGGTGAATATTTAATACCTCTCAGTGACATTCTGGTGTGTGAGTTACTGCTGCTAATTCCAGCAGTTCAGATAAGCACCCCCCAAAATTCCACCATACTAATTGCCTGGGAAACATTGAAATACACAGAAACCATGCACCTACTTCTTTAATGATATCTGGTTTTGCCTGTCCACAAGAGGGCACTCCTTGCAAGTCTGAGTGATATAGTGCTGTACTTGCTCCTGTCTGCAAGCCTGATCATGTCTCTCTGGATCCCCACCCCGGATGAGCAGGAAAGGGTGAGCAGTCATACCCAGACGTCCTGGCACTCTTCATTGCCGCCCTGGTCACGGTGATCGTGGCGTTGGGCGTGAAGAACTCGGTGGGCCTCAACAACATCCTGAACGTGGTGAACCTGGTGGTGTGGGTCTTCATCATGATTGCGGGACTCTTCTTCGTCAACCCCTCTAACTGGGGTGATGGGCGTTTTCTACCCCATGGGTGGACAGGGGTAAGTACCCCTCCATGCCGCAGAAAGGCCTTGGCTTCTGGAGTGGCTGCCCCTCACACTCTCTCTCGCTACCTTGCAGGTCATGCAGGGAGCTGCCACCTGCTTCTATGCCTTCATCGGCTTTGACATCATCGCCACCACCGGCGAGGAGGCCAAAAGCCCCAATACATCGATACCCTATGCCATCACCGCCTCGCTGGTCACCTGCCTCACCGCCTATGTCTCAGTGAGTACCCAGCCAGGGGCTGGGCAGCAGGAGCACTGAAAGCTGATTGGTCCCCGGAGTGGCCTTTCTTCTATAAATCATTGATTCAAAATATATCATTGGCTAATAATAAGGTCAGCCCATCTGTATGGATTATGGCCCCTCTGATGTCCCCACCTTAAAAAGCCTAATATTACCCCTGTATTCAGCATTCCATGTGACCCAGATGACCGAGGGCACCATCCAGCTAGCCTTGTCATGTTAATGCTAACAGGTTGATGACCTTTGACCCCAACCCTTGGCAGGTGAGTGTCATCCTGACCTTGCTGGTACCCTACAACAAAATCGACGGCGATGCACCACTCATGGAGATGTTTGTAGTGCATGGCTTTGGCTTTGCCAAGTTTGTGGTGGCGGTGGGCGCCGTGGCTGGGCTGACCGTCAGCCTCCTGGGGTCGCTCTTCCCCATGCCGCGGGTCATCTACGCTATGGCTGGCGATGGCCTGCTCTTCAGGTGAGATCCCCTCGCGATGTGATCACGTGGCTAACAGCTAATGGATAATTGGTTAATGCTGAAAGCCTAATGGCTAATGTGTACCTGCAGGTTCCTGGCACACGTAAGTCCGTTCACAGAGACGCCGGTGGTGGCGTGCGTGGCCTCAGGCTCACTGGCAGCCCTCCTGGCGTTGCTGGTGAGCCTGCGTGACCTGATTGAGATGATGTCCATCGGCACGCTGTTGGCCTACACGCTGGTCTCTGTGTGCGTGCTGCTGCTGCGGTACCAGCCCGATGCTGGTGCCACCACCGTCACCGAGTGCCCCCCTGAGGACGAGGGTGGTGGCGAGGATGAGGCTGACGGCAAGATGGGTGATGGGCCGGCATTCCAGCAGGGATCACCATACCAGGGCGCCACCACTCAGGACGAGTACGATGGCATGGGTGACAATGCCTGTGGCGCCAAGAACCTGCCATCGGGGGGCGATGGTGAGATGCTGTATGATGAAGGCCCAGACAACATATGCACTGCACTGCTGCGGCGCCTTCTAGGCCCACGGTACCACATCCTGCGGGCTCGGCTGGGCCTGCCTGGCCGCACTGCCAGGCCCACACCCGCCACAGGCCGCATTGTTACTAAGAGTGTGCTGATGCTCTTCGTGTGGGCCTTCCTGTTCTTTGGTGCTGAACGCGAAGGTGGCGGGTGGGGGGTGCTCTCCGTGCTGCTGATGGTGCCTGTGGCCGGCAGCCTCCTGTTGGTCATCATGCGACAGCCCGAGAATCCCCGCAAGCTGCCCTACATGGCACCCTGCGTGCCCCTGGTGCCGGCCTGCGCCATCATCGTCAACGTCTACCTCATGCTCAAGCTGTCTCGCATCACCTGGATCCGCTTCGTCGTCTGGTGTTTGCTGGGTAAGGCAGGGGGTTGGGGAATGGGCAGGGTAAAGGGCAGGAAGCTCCCCTTCTCCTCCTCACTATATTCATCTGTCTGGGGGCGTATAGAGGGGCAGGGCCTCAGGCCCTAGCTGAAAGCCATTTGGTTGCCGGAGTATCCCCGCCTGTCACTCACTGATTCACAGCATATAGTTGGCTAACGATAAGGCCAGCCACTCCGCATGAATTATTGTCCCTCAGGTTAAGCCCCCAACGACATTGTCACTGACCCCGCCCCCCTCATGTCTGTGTCTTTGCCCTCCCCAGGGCTGGTAATCTACTTCAGCTACGGCATGTGGAACAGCAACCTGGAGCTGCATGCCCGCGAAGAGGAGGCGAGTGCTAGCTCGTACCAGCGCTACGACGGCGGTGTGGATGACAGCTTTGGCACAGAGGATGCAGCCCCCTACCCGCAGGACGACGATGAACCATACCAGGGCTGGGGGGCACAGCAGGAGGGCGGGTACCAGCAGCAGTACCAGGCAGGCCCACCGCAGTGGGACGAGGGAGATGGGCGGACCTAGGCGTTTCTCTGGGGATGGGGGACAGGGTCGGTCCTGCTTGCCAGAAGGGGGCGCCGGCGAGCAGCCGAGGGCGGGAGCCCCTACCGGGGAATGCCTATTTTAACCGAGTTGATGGGTTTTCCTGTACTCTTCCTACTGACACCCTAGTTGAAATCTTCATGAAAACTAGTATGATTTTACACCTGTCGCCGCATTACTCACCAGTGGCTTTACTGGTATGGTGCCAAACCAGTAAGTGCTGCCTTGGGTAATGTGGCCTGTACTGGTAGCGCACTGGGTTTCCAGTAGGGTCTCTCTCCTCGTTCGCCAGCACTGATGTCCGTTCCCCCTTGTGTGCATTTGCTGATGTGTCACATGACTCAGCGGGGTGGCAGAGAATCCCGCCCCTTCCTGTCCCCCCCCAGTCATGTGATCAGGTACAACAGAGTGCTGTTTCTATGTGATGAATGTGGTCCATCCATGGTGATTTAATTACAAGGTCAGTCTTGATTTAGCTCCCATCTGCTGCCGGTGGCAATTCAAAAGTAATGTTTTCATTAAAGATGATTATTTCAATAGTATGTTTATTTCATGGGTTCTGAAACCATCAATCTGCACCTTGCCTGCCTGTCTGTGTGCTTTATAAGTATGAAGTCAGGATGGACCTTTACCCCCATATCCATATGTGTATGGAGAAGCACACGCCCCCCCAGCCTGACACTCATGTGCATGCTTATTGCTGATTGCTGTGTTCATGTAGGCTGCACGCTGGGTCTCTTCAGATCGTTACAACTCTCACTGCTCGTTGCTCAGCTCGCAGCTGTGTTTCAGTTAATTGGTTTATCCCCTCGTATCATAGATACGTCAATCTGCTACCGGAAAGGGGTATCCCCCCCCCCCCCTCCCCAAAAAGGAAATCTCTCCAAGGCCCTCAGGACTTACACTGAAATAAGCAAAAGTAAAATCCCACTAATTCTCTGAATGAGGAGGACGCTCATTTCATGGCTTTCATGAGTCAGCAGCCCAGCACGGCCCCTGATGAATGACTTCATTTCCTGTCAGCTGATCATGTTTCATTGAAATTACAGACTGGCTTCCTCAGAGAGCCTCGCACCCGTGTGCCTGTGGCATCCGGCAGTCTGGGATTCTGTGCTGTGAGTCCGAGGCGTGACCCTGTATTCCTTCTTCACTTTGCCTGTTTCTGTAATGGAGAGCCTGATGTCATCATTTTACTGCTGTGCATCTTCCCTATTTGCTCAAACCCATGGTAGGGCTTTGCAAACATATTTCCGGGGCAAAAATTTGAAATTTGTCACAAATGTATAATATGATTTTCACACCTTTCTTAGTGTCAGATAGCGGCACTTTAATGTGTATTTTGTATTATACTATCTGTGCATTACTCACCAGCAGAAACTCTGTGTGTCTGTGTGTTGTATTTTGAATGACGTTGCAGTAAGTTTTGTCGGTTGTTGTTTGGAGGTTTCTCGACATGCTGACGCACCGGCTGTCTTTACTAGATGATTCCTGACACTGGAAATGGGTCTTTACCAAAAGGGATCAGCTTAATAAAAGCAGATGCTGGACTACAGCCCCTGGGCCTGGTCACAGCTCGATTTGATGCTCATAAATGTCTGCCTCTCTCTGCGTCTGCGTCAGTGTGCTGAGTGTATATCAGGGTTAAACTGTGCTATCATCCGAACACAAGGTGATCATGTGATCACAAGCATCTGCTTTGGTCCAGAATACCAAACACACAGGTGAGGCTGGTCCTACTTTGCCTAAAATGTTTCACATTTGTGCCCCTGCATAAAACGCTAGTCGTAATTCTGTGTAGCATCACTAACTGTTAATCAAACTTCTAATGTAGGTAAACTAAGAATTAAGCCACCTGCATGTGTCCAACATGTCCATGTGTGGTTGTTTGTTATATGATGCTAATGTCTGGCTGGATGTATCCATAATTAATTTGCTGTAAATATTATAACTCGTTAGCTTGAAACAGCTGTAAATAAATAGGTGTCAACCTTGGTAAATATTTTATTTCTCGTGGCATGAAGAGATTAAGGTGATCTTAACAATGGGCAGCCCCACCTGTCATAATCCCCAGTAGCTAAACATACTGGGTAGGCAGCCAAAGGCCATGCCTTCCCAGATGGCTGAAACACACCTGCAGCCAGATGCACAGCTCAGGAAGTGACATCATCCAAGCTGGTCTCTGTACAGAACAATTTGAAGACCTTGGGTTCCCCCCTCTCAGGGTATTTCCAGAGGAAAGGCAGAACTTGACATGTTAAAAATTGTTGATTTTTCGCAATTATGTTTCAGTATATGCCATGTGGTTGGAGCAGTCTAGACATGAGGGCAGTAATGTTATGGGTTTAGCAGCAGGGGGAGTAGCCATTAGTGTGGCAGACTCTCAGAGAGGCCCCTTTTCCTACAGTATAATCTGTCATGTTTATTAAGACAAAAGAGAAAAAGCTTAATAAGTATCGGTTACCAGTAATGACTGTATATACAATGACTCATTAAAAAAAATGTCACCACCCCCCCATCCAGGAAAATCCTCCTGATGTCACTGGGTCGAGAGGAGAGCGTCCCCGTCTCGGTAAATGACAGAAGCATTAAGCTGGGTGGTGAAATAAATAACGAGGAACTTGTGGAAAATTAGGGGGGGGGGTGGTTGTAATGCTGAGCAGGGATGCCTCTCATTTGCTGACTAGTAAACATGACCATGTGGTCTTGTGACCCATGCAATGCACAGAGTCTAATGTTCCTATATTGTAAATGAGATATAGGGGGCACTCCTGTGTTCTTGTTTTGTTGTCCATTTTTTTTTCCCATTGAGAAATCTCTTAGTAGGGGTGGGGGGATGTATCTGCCCCCCTCAGACATGCACGCTCTTGGCGTGGTTCCCCGAGGGGGGGCCAGTGGTGATGGTGGCCGCCGGCTTGGAGTAGTAGAAGCGCTGCTCCGGTTGGCGGATGAGATCGCCATGGCAGCAGGTGACCATGGCGCCACCCACCAGGCAGAGGCCGGAGCCCACCCAGCCGGTGTACAGGGAGAAGCCAAAGGACATGATCTCCTGTTCCTGGTGCGCTCCCACGGGGAACCACACGGTGGACACCATGCCACACAGTGCTGTGGAGGAGGAGCACAGGGCATCCAGGCAGCATTAAGCAAAACCAGCCACATGATCAGAAACAGGCATTAATATGTGACCGTCTTCAGTAGGCTACTGCTTATGCTGTACAAGGTGACTAAACAAACTGCCTATTTAAGTACTTTAAAAATATACAGGTTTGCAATACATACATCTCAAATAATTATATGAATTATACACAGATTTTTAAATGCAGCTTCATATTTATCAGATATCGATTTACTGATGTACATACTATGGCGATTAATCACAGTGGCGGGGCAGTGGTGGCCTAATGGTTAGGGACAGGCACTTATAATTGAAAGATTGCTGGATCAAATCCCTGACCAGCAAGGTACTGCTCCTGGTGTGCTTAATTAACTATCCCCTGCTATGTCACAATGTTAATTGTGGTGTGTCAACAATGATCACCTAATTCTAATTGAGTCCATACACAAGCCAAAAGCACGATGATCTCATTTTAATCTGCATCCGAAGCGGAAAAACTTTTGCAGCATTTACGAAATATGGGGCGAATCCGGGATTAGTCACACGGCCGCTGATGGCACTCAGGTCGCGGCTGCTGCACGACCCCCGCTGAGAGGGCACCACGGGAAGGAAGGCCCTCGGCATGCCGGGCAGTGTGCGGATCTGTCGTTAATCAGCACGCAAGGAACAGGACACAACTGTTTATGCTCAGCTTTTCTGCCAGCGCGTGTGGCTCGTGGCACCTACCCATTGTGAGGGTGAGGACCCCCCCCAGCACCGCCCGGCGCCGCTTGGCCCCGTCGGACTCGGCACCCAGCGTGACACAGGGCATCGCCGCCAGCGCGAGGGCGACGGCTGGCAGCCCGACGAAGCACGCGACGACCATCAGCGTGCGGCACGCCTGCACGTAGGCTGGCCAATCAGAGCGAAGACCATTAATAGTCATTAATAAGCAACTGGAAATAACGCACCAAATGATTAAGTTAATAATAACAGGTATTAGCAATGGGAAACACTAATTATAGTGTTACATCCATGTGTATGTAGGCCTAGAGGAAAAAATTGAAAAGGTTCTTTTGTGCCGATATTTAACTGTACTACATTTATTACCGTTTTATTCATTTGTCATTTAATTCCATTCTGGATACGTGTCATGGGTAGTTTCCAACTGTAAACTATATAGAATGCAAACAGATTTTATAGATACAGATATAGAGATTAGTCATTTTAACCGATGGAAATTGTGCATTTTTTTTGTCTCTGTACCTCTGCATTTCACGTAACGCCGTTATTTGTTTACAGCAGGCAGGCGGCTCTACCCTACCTGGCAGGGCGAGGATTTGGTTTAGCGCGACGCAGTGGTACAGCGCCGTGGAGATGACACAGTCCACCCAGAGTCCCCGGGTGCGCAGCTCGTCCATCCGCCGGCAGGTGTGCATGTCGTACTTGCAGGTGAGTACCCAGTCACCGGTGGCGGTGGCGATGATGATGCCGACCCAGCCGAGGCAGCTGACCATGAAGCCGCTGAACCGTATGCAGCCGCGAGCCATGGGGAAATAGTTGCTTTGGATGCGCGTTAAGGAGGTGAGAGTCCTGAGCAGGACGAAATAATAATGAAAGGTAATAAATTAAACGCAAACGTGACGGGAAAGCGTGGTGGTACTGCGTAGCTGGTGGTGTAATAAATCCTTATAGAAATCCCGCTTATTTGCAGTGAAATGAAGTTTCCAGTTTGCAGGCTTTTATATTCAATGCTGTGGAAGAAAAAAAAACGGACGGAAACTTTCAGCCAATGGCGAGATTCGGAGTAGAGGCCAGAGGGATTTACTCTTTACCCACTACTCTCATTAACTGTAAATCCTTCACTGCAGCCGGATGACTCGGTGACTGTCCTTTGTCCATTTGCGGAACCCTGAAGCCAAGTTTTCTGAATAATTTTCAATAGGCCTGTACCGTCTGGGGAACTTTACTGTAGTGTTAGAAGACCCGAGCATCACGGCGGTAGGAACAAAACTAGGCGGTTTTACTTAAAGCGAGAGCCCATTATTTGTAGTCCTTAAAATAAAGGAACGCAACCTGAAACACCCACACTGCTGCTATACGCTGCCCACGGGCAGGCCGTCCCGACTGCTCTAGTACATGCTGGGCGCACACACACTTTATTTACAACACATATCTTTAAACACTGTATATGACACTACGATACAACACAATGCATCATACTAAACACTACTTACACACAGTTCTTTGCATTAATTACACGACTGGCACTGGTCCAGCAAGCCGCGCTGCCCGATGGGTATCCCCAGCGACACATGTGACCTGCATGATGTGTGCGATGTGAATTCCCGTGTTTATGGAGTGTCATTTTATGGGTTTTTTTGCTTGAAAAACTGCCCTGCGTCATTTCTGAATCTTTCCTGCCCCCTATCGATGGTTGGCCTGCTGTTCATGTTAACTGGTGTTTTTTTCCTCTAAATAATTTTGGTTAATGTGACACCGTAAGGGGAAGAAAATATTCCGTATTTTGCCTATGGCGTGTCATTGGTGTGAGCTTCAGTAGCTGCCGTTTCCTTTGTTAATTTTATGTATTTATTTATCTATCTACTTTTTATTTGTAACTGGTCTGTTGGGACCTTCTTGTGGAACGGTAAGCCCAATACGTTGCAGGGTAGATGTGCGGTCCCGCTTTCAGGCGCGGCACGCACCTGGACCATTGGCCACTTCTGACGGGCTGATGTAGAGGAACTTGTACAGCAAATCAAATAACGAAACTGTAATACCACACCCACGCAGTTGCCAAGCCATGCGTGCAGAGAAACTTTCAAAGTGCCACATACTTTATTTCAGAATTTAAGTAATAGAAACAATTCTACAGTTTTAAACCATTTTTTTGAGAAATTTTTGGTTGTTTGGTCCTGTGCTTAAAGTGTGGGATTCCCACTGAACACACTGTCATTTCCTCCATAGGCTGGTGAACCTTCCTCAATGAATTACGTCACTCTTAAGGCTGTAAAAATAAACTCCACTTCCATTAGAATTATAAATACAACTTAAATACTTAGTTATTTTTTAGGTAAACAGTATGATTAGTTATCATTATTGCAACCCTTTGCCTAGCTTAAAGTTTAGTTGATATTAAAACGAAAAGATAATATGCAACAAATATAAAACTTGTTTGAATGGCTGTCTTTGGGTGGAGATTTTTCGAAACATGAGCAAAAAATGGCTGTATTAGGCAGCCCTGTGAAGCTGTTCAGTCTACGTATCTATAGAGATGATGCGCCTGACTAGTGGCCAGAAAGTCTGTATCACTCACTGGAATCACTGCTTCATTAGTTTGGCCTGTCTCACTCACTGGAGTCACTGCTTCATTAATTTGGTCTGTCTCACTCACCGGAGTCACTGTTTCATTAGTATGGTCTGTCTCACTCACCGGAATCACTGCTTCATTTGTTTGGTCTGTCTTACTCACTGGAGTCACTGCTTCTTTAATTTGGCCTGTCTCACTCACTGGAGTCACTGCTTCATTAATTTGTAGCTTGCGGTCTGAGATGGTTTTGGGGTTTTTACATCTGATAAACCAGTGAGCAGCAAACATGGCATCTTGCAGACTTCAGACAGTGCTTCTCCATTCAAGGCAGGGTCATGTGACACAGGACTCAGGGGACACCTGTGCTTGGGGGTGTGGCCGTGTTCGGCATGACTAGGGGTGGGACTAGGGGCCCTTCAAGTCACTGATGCGGGCATGGATCTTCAGGGCTGGTCCCAGCTTCAGCTTCATAGCCCCCATCAGGTGATCCTCGGTCAGGAGCAGCAGAGCCTGGCCATCGATCTCCTGCGAACGGAACTCCTCTGCGATGTCTTGGCAACCTGCAGGAGGTAACCGGAGTTCATAAAATGGTAAAATGGTTAGGGTTAGCATCGCATTAGTATTAGTGTTACAGTTAAGGTTAGCTTCAGTTTTAGCCAGGGGCGCAGATGGTAGGGGGACAAGGGACACATCCCCCCTCACTTTTGAGGGGAAAAAAATAAAATTTTGATAAGTAGCATCCCTAAATAGGGTTGGATACTGTGATGTTTTGAACTCATCAAACCGTGTTGACCTTCACAAACTACTCATAGCATGTGTTTGCTGCAGGTAGAATTCCCCTGACACACATGTATCCCCATGTCTATACACACATACGCAACCACGTGCCTGTACACAGACATGCATCCCTGTGCCTATACACACATACGCAACCACGTGCCTGTACACAGACATGCATCCCTGTGCCTATACGCACATACGCATCCACGTGCCTGTACACAGACATGCATCCCCTTGCCTATACACCCATACGCAACCACGTGCCTGTACACAGACATGCATCCCTGTGCCTATACGCACATACGCATCCACGTGCCTGTACACAGACATGCATCCCTGTGCCTATACGCACATACGCATCCACGTGCCTGTATACAGACATGCATCCCTGTGCCTATACGCACATACGCATCCACG